TGGTTTCAACTGTTTACTTCTCTCTTCATGACGGTATATCTAGTGAAACTGTATAAAAGGACCTAATGAAACTGAATTGTTTGAAATCTGCCACTTTACAAGAAATCTGTGTTCCCTCTTTCCTGCTAGTGATGTACTGTTTTAAACCACCTCGTGATTATCGGATTACTATATCAATATTATTTTTTTCCTTCTTTACTGTTTTACTTGACACTCGTGGAGAAATCTTTGTTTGTACTGAAACTACCTATGCTGCTACAATGTTAAAGTAAGGAAATGCATTTGAACATCCATTGCCATTGGCATGTTTTGCAGCTCTGTGTCATTCTCTGTATGAATTTGAGAATTATCGGCTGAAGCAGTGCTTTAACTACGCGGTTCATGCTGGATGGGACTATTATGTGAATGCGGTTTATATAATTTTTATTGTTTCTGTAGTGAATTTGGATTATTCTTTCGGTGTGTTCAGACTAAAATACTCATAGGCTGTCTCGCTGAGTTGCCTTGAATGCTCCTACTCAATTTTTCACTTTCTATATTATCATAGTTATAATAATTTCTTTTTTATATTATTTCCATATATTTTTTATTAACTGGTACTAAAGGATGCCCTGAATGTGTTTGAAGGTTGGGATCTGTGAACTCCCATTTGATCCTATCAGTTCTGAGGTCGCTGGAGGAGCTGGTGGAACGTAAGTGAACAGTTGGATTTATTAAGTTTATATATGATTGCTTCTTTCACATGTTATTTCTGCATAAGTTCTATACTACTTCCTTCTTAATTTTGAAATATTTCTGTTCTTAGTTCTTTTGTCTACCAAAACACCTTGATTTAATTTACATATTTTATGTGCTTTTAATCGATGAAGATTATCTGGATTCCCTGTTGGGCGACTACAATTTTCTGGAATTTATTTAAATCTCGGGTTTATCTCTGTCTTTCAAATATCATGTGCTGCTGACAATCTATTATAATCTTGATATCTTTACTATATTATGTGTCACCTGTGCTTGTTTGCATGGAGATGCAACTGGTTTATTTAATGTGACAGTAAATTCTCAAGTTAGCTTTTTCTGGAGTCAAGAATCTGTTAGATATTGAATTACTTTCCACAAGTTTTACATTTCTATAGCCCGTGATATGAGTTGAAAATAGTTTTGAAGTTGTCTCTTCATGTCCAAATGATGTTTTGAAATGAATATTTTTGTATTTGGATAGGCTATGAAGCTAAGGAACTGTGTGCTTTTTAGTTTCATTTTCTTACTCATACAAATGTTTCAGCTGTTTCATGAGGTTTTTTGTGATAAATAACACGTCATGACTAAGTTATATGTATTCTTTTCTCATTGTTTTCTACATTAAATTGTGTATGATAGCAGGTCTACTTCTAGATTTTTGAAATAGGAGTAACTTGGAAATTCTGAAGAAAATGTATTATAAAGGATCTTAGTTTGTATTAGTACGTGATAATGAATATTCATCTTTGCAGGTGTGTTATTCGTGGTTGTGTTCCTAAAAAGATTTTGGTGTATGGTGCTTCTTTTGGTCCTGAACTGGAGGTAAGATATGCCAGTAGATATGAAAGGGTGATGCTTATGTGCTTAGATAGTTCTGTTTCACTATTGCTTAGAGTTCTCTGCTCTCGTTTATCATTGACATTTATTTTTTTCATTTTAAAACTGGATCTTGAATGGTTTTTCTGGATTTCTGATGCGAATTTTTATTTCTAATTATTTGCTATGTCAATAAATAACTTCAGTAACTAGGAATAAGTACTTATCTTGGCTGTCAAATTTTGTATCCATTTAATAGTAAATTAAGTTATATCTGGAAGTTTTCTAATTAACTGGTTTATGCTGGTTAAGAAGTCCGATGTTGGAAATTTTTCATTGGTAATTCTAGTCTATATAATGTATAATATAGCATACTTTACATGTATACAACTAATTTCCGTTCTACTTATCCATTTTATTTAGAATTTTTCCAATACTATGTGAAAAACATTGCTTTGACTCTTCATATAATTTTGTTTTCTAATCTTTTAAATACCCTTGGTTTTCAGGATGCAAGAAATTACGGGTGGGAACTGAATGAAATAAATTTCACTTGGAAGAAACTTCTACACAAGAAGGTGAGTGGTATCTTAGGTACTTTACTCTGATAGTGATACATTTATTATAAGCTTCCTATATCAGCATTGGCACCTCTACATCCACTCTCTTCACCTTCGAGCAGCTGGTGGTAGTTCAATAACAGTGAAGAATGTAAATGTACTTCTGTTGTTGAAAGAGAAAGACTTTGTGACTGAATTTTGAGTAAATGCAAATATCTGTTTATAAAGAATTTTATCAACACTTTTACTGTTGATCCTCCGTTTCTGTCAAAAGATTTAGTAATCCTTCTTTATGTTATCATATGGATTAGAAAGGACACTAGATTTCTACAGGTAATCTAAGAAGTCACTTTCCTTCAGGTATCAACAGTTTGTAAAGAATAAAACTTTTAAGAATGGAGGTATTATGGTTACCGTTTTCCTCTTTTTTGGTTCCTCAGATTTTATAGAATGATCAAACCTTGCTACGTTTGACAGGCATATCAACCCTGTTTTTGCATAGTCATATTTACAGTTACTGAGGGTTCTTAACATTCATGAGTTTTATCATATAACCTGCAGACAGAAGAAATAGTCAGATTGAATGGAATCTATAAGCGCATGCTTTCAAATGCTGGAGTTAAGTTTTTCGAAGGAGAGGGAAGAGTTGTAGGTCCTAATGAAGTTGAGGTGATCCAATCAGATGGAACAAAAAAAAGTTATTCTGCAAAACATATTCTAATTGCGACTGGAAGCCGCGCTCAGCGTCCACATATTCCTGGCCAGGTTTGTGTAATTGTCGTCCAACGATTTACTCGCAAGAGTTTTCATGTTCTTTCTGGTATTTAATGTGCTTGGAGATGATATTAAAGGCTTTATGTTATCTTTGCATTTCAAGTTCTAATGTGTGCATCATTCTTAGTCCCAACTTCAGTTTGCTTCCTGTATACGGATAACCACGTGTGTGATGGCACATCTGTCTGAACCTCCTTTCTCGTTGACTGTTTGTCTTAATGAATTTCGATTTTTCTTTTCACGTAATACCTTGATACTGGGAGCCGAAATCATGTCTACAACTATGTGCATCTGATTTGTGGTTCACACACAGGAATTAGCCATAACATCAGATGAGGCGTTGAGCTTGGATGAGTTGCCCAAGCGAGCTGTTATACTTGGTGGAGGGTATGTTATCTCTTTTTGCTTTGTTTGTTCTCACTTCATTTTGGGGCCAACCTCTCTTAGTCCATTGGCTTTTATTTCTCTTAATTTAGGTATATTGCTGTTGAATTTGCTTCAATATGGCGGGGCATGGGTGCAACGGTAGATTTGTGTTTCCGAAAAGAACTTCCTTTAAGGTTAAACTATTCTTACAACTTTTATCATTATTGCTTGGTTTCTATCTAATTGCTGTTCAAAGAAAGCTGGGTTACCGTAGATATTTTCATAGATATACACACAGTATGCATGTCAGAGATAATTAATGTGAGATTTGTTTCTTAATTAAGTCCTTATGGACTCTGTGTGATAAATTTCTGCAGTCCAAATCATATTATCTTTACATTTAATTAGATGGATTGTTTAACCAGTCATGCTCATACAGAATGTGTAGTGTGCAAAATCTGATGGTGGACAAGCTTAATATTTCTTTCTTTTGATGGATTGTTGCATTTTCGTACTTCCGTTAATTTTTGTAGTTGTACTATAATGGGAACGCGAAGGTTGAATTCCTTATCTTATTGTCAGAGCTGTGTCATAGTTTTGTCCAATGAATACAGATTTTCTCATACCATATGTTGTCTAATATCTTTATCAGAGGTTTTGATGATGAAATGCGAGCAGTAGTTGCAAGAAATCTGGAAGGCAGAGGCATCAACTTGCATCCTCAGACAACTTTAACCGAGGTGTTTAGCTTTCCCTTTCATGTGATTTCACAAATGTCCAAAGGAATTAACAAGAAGAGAGACGAGATAGAACTGTGATAATTTGTTGCTTTTCTTGTAATATGTTGGAATCTCTTAGTTAATACTATTATGTTTATTGTAAAATGCAACGTGCATCAATTGTTGAGATGGGGTATTGGTGCTGCAGCTGGTCAAAACAGGAGACGGTATAAAAGTTCTCACTGACCATGGTGAAGAAATAATTGCGGATGTCGTACTTTTCGCCACCGGTAATTTCATTCTAACTGCCAACTACTTCATCTCAATGTGGTAATTTTATTGTTCCATACGTTGATAGACACTACAGCTTCTTCTCAAACCTATATTTGGAATGTGCTCTGCTGGTCAAAGTTGTGTTTTGAAGGTTTAAGTAATTTTTTAGCCACTTTCTCTGCCAAATAATAATCAGTGGCTGACGGTGGCGAGAAAAACAGAAGCAAAAAATCCACCAATTTATATGGCTGATGCATTTGCAGCCTACGGCCAAAAGTCTCAGCACACTTCCCAAAATATATATTTGTATAGTAGAAATATATAAACTACCACAAAAACTTGTAACACGTCAAGAACCATAGATTTACTCAAACAAACAACATAACAAATTACTAATGTGTCATGACTCTGTACTTTGTTGAACCATAGCAACCCTGCCATTTGAGATCAACTACCAGATACGATGACTCAAATTTACTATCTCTATTAATTCGTCACTTTTTAGTATGAAGGCAAGTCTGAATATGTTGAGGCACATGGTATTTGGAGTGGGCAGTTAACCCAAATTCAATCCTGTTTGAGTTTTTGTTGTTCAAATCCTTTTGAGTTCCAAACTTTATGAGACCTTAGTATTAGCTTCACTCTAATTTTCAATTTCATCCTAGACACACCTCAGAGTTAATTTATTATTGCAAGTGACTTATAAGATCGGTTCAATTTGTGTCATATTATCTTTGGAATCAGTCATCTTACGTTTGACTTCACACTGGTTGCAGGCAGAGCTCCTAACACGAAAAGGTTAAATCTGGAATCCGTAGGTGTTGAGCTTGATAATAGAACCCGAGCTGTGAAGGTAATATTTTATTGAAATTTTCTGCGTATCATTTTTGCCAAGTCCAGGAACTGAGGGTGAGGGGAATTTTAGAACTACTCGTTAGAATTCACACACACACACACATATATATATATATATATGATATACACTATACACTGTTACCAATTGTGTGAGATAATTTTGTTATAAAGATGGTAGAAAGCAAACCTCCAATTTGATGCTATTATTAGCACACCATCAATTTATCATTGTATACAGTTTCCAGATCATATATAACATTATTTAGCTAGGTCCCTAGTTCCTGCAACGAGATTTATTCTCATTGGAATTAGACACACTCACACAAAGACACACTAGATTCCAGATGTGCACTGGTCATTGCTACAACTCTTAATTCAGTTTTAGAATTTTTGTCCTTATATTAGCCGTGTTGCTGAGGTACTTTGATGGCTATCATTCTTGGAATGCTATAGTTTACTTATCCTTAGATCCCCAGGTTGATGCTTATTCCCGCACCAACATATCCAGCATTTGGGCCATTGGTGATGTGACAAACCGAATGAATCTTACTCCTGTTGCCTTGATGGAAGGAACTTTTTTTGCTGTATGTTCTGTCAAACTCTCACTTTGATTTCCACGTCTTAAATTTGTTGATGCAAACATTGTGTGGTGCATAATTTAATTTATTTCTTTAATTTGCTGAGACATTTCTTCCTCTCTTTTATGTCTGCAGAAAACTGTGTTTGGTGGACAACCTGCTGCACCTGATTATGGGCATATTCCTTGTGCTGTGTTTTGGTATTACCATTTTTCAGAAATTCTTTTATTCTGCCTTTCCTTTGATATATTGTTCTTTCCTATCATTTTCTATTGTGGAATGTCTTGATTATGCATTTATATCAAGTATTATTCATGAGTAGTGATTTCCATATTCTCCAGTTTGCTATTTTTTTTTAATTTTTTTTTTGGTTGCTCAACTAATTGTTTTCACATAATCTATTTTATTACGTGGTGGTTTTGGGTGACAAGCCTCCAGTCCAGATTCTGTACTCTTAACTTCAGCATTTGAATAGTTGGTCTTATCTGATTAGTCTTCAAACTATCTGGCGACTGCTGTCAGTAGATTTCCAAAAACCAGCCTTTTGTTATGAATGGTGTCTCTATAGTTGTAGCATGTAAAATTTTGAAAGTACAAAATGAACAGTAAACACGATAACTGAAAATGCTGCGAGAGAAGTAATGATAAAGACATTATGGAGTTTTGCTTGAATTTAAACCATTGAGAAGTTTTCTTTATTTATGTTAACAAAAAACCCTTTGCTTGGTTGCTACAGTGAAAACCCACTCCCGAAACAGTAATAGAAATTACCGCTGACAAATACAAACCAAACTTGTGATCGCCCGAAAATGTTCATTGCTTTCCCATCATCCTCGTATAAGCGGTTTCTCAATACTTATTTAAAAGCATGCAGTTTATATCTCACTAATGGTTGCATAAAATCTTCAGCAATTTCAACCTATTAGCACTTCGTTTGACTGATATTATTAATTCAACTCATAAGCCTCTATTGTTGAAAATTTGTACTCTGATTACGTGACAGCATACCTCCACTGTCGGTAGTTGGTCTCAGTGAAGAACAAGCTTTAGAGGAGGCGAATGGTGACATTTTGGTTTTCACATCAACATTTAATCCAATGAAGAATACTATCTCTGGGTATGCATGTTCGAAAACTCTGTTTTTGGATGCTCAAAATGTGATCTTTAGCGCATATGGCTCAAGGATTCTATAACTGAGAATTAAAACTAGTTTTTCTTAAACGTTCACACATCAACTCTTGATTTTCTTTATTACTCTTCACGATATATGGCTCAACTTCATTAAAAGTGGTTTAAAGTAATTGATTTCTGTGTTAGAATAGTTCCCTTTTATTAGCTACATGATGGTATATGGTTGTTGTGTAGACGTCAAGAGAAGATGGTAATGAAGCTTGTGGTTGATGCTGAGACTGATAAAGTCCTTGGAGCTTCCATGTGTGGGCCTGATGCACCTGAGATCATGCAGGTATTTTTTTCTGGTCCTTCCTCTTTCTTTTTTTTTTCTTTTTTTTTTGGTTTTTTCTTCATAAATGATGACAAACAAATAAACGGCTGGAAGAATTGCCTTGAGAGATGTCTTTTTTTGGCAAGACCAAGTTTGCTGTATAATTTTCCAAGATATAAAACATGGTGCCTATACCAGTGTTCTATTATATGCCTCTGCTTTTGGTCATCACTGATTCGTACTAGTTCATTCTTTTTGTCCCTACATAATAGGCGCACATGGCCAATAATACTTGCATTTGGCTAGCATTTCTAAATAGTGACATGTTGAAACAATTTATGATGTTTTACACGTCCTTTGCAGGGCATTGCTATTGCGCTCAAATGTGGAGCAACCAAAGCACAATTCGACAGCACGGTGAGTTTTATTGACTAATTTTTCAGCTATTGCGCTAGATTCTCTTTGTTCTGCTGTGTAAAACTCTTCTGAAAGCATATTTAATATAAGCCAAGCATTTGCGTATGAAACCTTTTAGTGATTGTTTTACATCTTTGTCAGGTTGGAATTCATCCTTCTGCTGCTGAGGAGTTTGTGACGATGAGGTCTGTCACAAGGCGGGTTTCGTCTGATAAACCAAAGACCAATCTATAAATATGAAATGTCTGAACACTTCAGCAATATTCATGCAATAAATAAGGTTTCTATCTTCCTTTTTTTTTTTTAATCTTAAATTTATATGTAGCTAATAGAATTAAGAAACTTCTAGGAACGATGTGATATCTAAATAGAAGTGTTATAGCTGCAACTTTTGGCCAAGAAGTTAAACCTGTATGTTGCTATTATTTACATTTTTGCAGAGCATATATTTTTTACTATTGTTTACATTTTGCGTGAGGAGTTTTTTTGTATTTCACCATAGGGATTACAAGGATATATATAGTAGTTAAAACGAAGTGTAAGGAAAAAGAATTAGTAACCTAAGATACGAGATTACTACAATGCTACTTAATTGCCTAATGAGGAATTTGCACCCTTTACTATCAGATGTGATTAATATTATACTTTTAGAATCCTTATATTCTTAATTACTAGTACGGTACATGTGTGATGCACGAGAGTATTTATTACCTATTTGTTTTTTAAAAGGTATTTTTGTATTTTAATTGTCTCATGCCATTAAAAATTTCATGAAAATGAAATTTATATGTTATTAAACACTTTCTTATGTACAACATTATTGATTTGATTCTTTGGCACGTAAAGTACAACATAGGTGTTCGAATTTATCCAAAATTACATATTATTAGTTATTAGTTAACAAATTTTAAAAAAATTGAAGGACCTTATTTATTGAACAAAATTAAAGTAGAAAAAAAGTAGAATTTTTTAAGATTTCATCTATTATTTATTTTAAATCTAATTCTAAATTTCAATTAAGAAAAATTGAAAAGAATCATTAGTTAATCCCGGAAAAAAAACTGATTTTTTTTATCAAACAAATTGACCGAATTCTTTTTAAACCAAATAAAAAAATCATCAATTTTTCCTAAAAATGCAATTGAATTGTCCTAACATTGCACCGATTTTTGTACCAAACAAATTGAATTGAAAACAATTCTAATAAATATTTTAATAAATCGTTAATGTTTATGCAACTGTCTATTTCCTAAAGAAGATGATATGAACTTAATGAAAAAAATGATATGAACTTACCAAAATCTCGGTAAAACATGGTTAAGAAAAAACATATGAATCCAAAAAAATCGATGCATTTAAATTTTGAAAAGTTGCACACAATTTTTCCTAAATAATTGGATAAGGTGACTTTAAATATTATTGATGAACCGCTTTTGTTACCAAAAAATGTGGACACAATTTTGAATGTACATCCCGTCCACATATCAGTTTTATTTTAAAATAAAAATTGCACGTGGCTTTTTCAATTTACACAATTTTTTTGAAAGAAAAAATTATTCAGTAAGATTGGAAAATTGATTAAGAATTATACAACTATTTGCTTCATAAATTTATATCCAATTTGCACGTTTTTTAAGTTAGTTTGTATTTAGAATTGTTATCATAAATAATTAACACATTTTTTACATAAGAAATCTCCAAATTTGTTACCAAAAAAGATATGATTGAAATTTTGATAAAAAAATAAAATATGATACAAAAAAAATGGGATTCAAATTTTTCCATAAGAATCTCCAAATTCGTTACCAAAAAAATAGGATTTAGATTTTGTTACTAAAGATTCACATGTGTTTTTTTGAACTTTCCATTAATAGTAAGTCAAACATTATATTTATTTGGTCAAACTTTCTATTAATGTATTTTTCCAACAACCTCTTTATATATATATATATAGAGAGAGAGAGAGAGATATATAGATATAGATTAAATTACTAAACAAAGCCATAAATATTATAATTATACCTAAAAAAAACCATCGGCCTTCTAGGTCAGGGAAAGCAAAAAAAGCCATGGCCGACACCCTCGATTCCTTCACCTTTAAGCTTCGAACTTCGATTAGACTGTTCCCTATTAAAGAATAGCCGATTCCAATCATGTTTTCCGTTGTTCGATTCGTTAGTATTTTATTCGGATTGGGAATTTCGCGACGGTTATATAGGTGATGGAAGCTGACGGACTGCGGCGGTTCATGGCAGAGATGCAGGGGGAAGCAAACTCGACGGTGGAGGGCGCGCAGGGCCTCATCGATTTGACGGGCTCAAGCACTCACACTTGTTTCATAGGCGGGGGATGAATCTGGAGGCGTTCTTCAAGTACTTGTTCGGGGATGCTAATCCTCCGCTGGATCCGAAAATTGGGGTTAATTTTTCATTATTACTTTTTCGAGAGCACCATTTATCATGACAGAGCTGGGATAACTCTGTAACTTTTTGTATCTTATCTCTGCAGACTGTTTGTATCTTATAATTGAGGATACATTATGAATTCTTGTTTATTAATAGAATGCAGGAAAAATTTCTTCGGACTGTTTTGCTTTTGTAGCTTATAGCGCTTTTTATAAGAATTGATCCTCATTCTATTAAACTTCTGGCAGCAGTTATGTTTGATCCTCATTCTATTAAACTTCTGGCAACACTTATGTTTGATCTCCATATCTACAGTATATGCACAGTATATTAAACTTTCGACTGATTTTATTTTTTTAATTGTTTTTCGTGTATATATATGGTTTATATTAAGTATATTTTCAGTATATGATAAAGAAATTTATCGCGAGACAAAGCATAAACTGTGTTTTCTTTTTGTGTATATATGGAAGACATTTTCTTCATTGCAACATATACAAAATATATACTAACATAAACGCAATATATACCACCTGACAGCTACGTGAATTAAGGAATTCATATACTGCATATTATATTAACATAAACGCAATATATACCACCTGACAGCTGCGTGAATTAAAGAAATCCAGTTGCCGATTAAAGAATTAAATGAGTCAGTTATTTATTTTTATTTCTCTCTCTTATGAGTCAGCGATAATTAAGGATGGGGCGTGTTTTATTTGTGTGGTTATTTACATGAGGTATACTTCTAATAAAATCCTAGATTTTAAGTATAGATACAATTAAATTTGATCCACTCGTAAAAATGCAATATATTGCAATTCTTATGGGAACAGTGAAAATTTCCCTTGCCTAATCTATACCATATTGACAATAACACTTCCCCTTTGTTGGAGCAAATATACCAATTATGTCAAACTTGTTTCAAATGTTTTCTAGCGCTTGCTTACTATCTTTAAAAAAATGTTAAATATTCATAAAACAATTTGATCTTTTCAAAACTTTTTAATTTTAAAACTTTTTTTTGGCACTACTAAAAACTCTTTCTTTTTGAAACTTTCGAAAATGCT